TGTCTGGCAATAGACAGCATTTTTTTTAAACAAGAGCCCTTCCGAATTGTTTTAGGACATTTTATTGAGAGTAGCCAGGTCTTTCACAGTTGATCATCATTACAACATTGTTGTTACTGTGCACAATGACCTCTCAGTTCTCACTTTCCTTGGCATCAGGGCATACAGGTCTTGCTATATTTTTTTTTTGAAACTATAATCCCTGTCATTTCTCATAGCGCAATAGTATTCCATCACAATCATATACCATAACTTGTTCAGCTATTCTCCAATTGATGAACATCTCCTCAATTTCCAGTTCTTTGCCACCACACACAAAAAAAGCACTGTTAGAAATATTTTTGTATGTTATATAACTTCTCTTTTTTCTTTGATCTCTTTGAGATACAGACCTAGCACTGGTATTGGTGGGTCAAAGAATATGCGCAGTTCTATATCCTTTTGAACATAGTTCCAATTTGTTCTCCAGAAGGGTTGGGCCAATTCAATTCCAAAGACAGTTTATTAGTGTACATATTTTCTGCCATCTCCCGAATTTTTTCATTTTTGATGAATGTGAGGTGGCACCTCAGAGCTGTTTGAATTTACATTTCTCTAATCAATAAATATTTGGAGCATTTTTACATATGACTATAGATAGCTTTGATTCTTCTGAAACTGACTGTCCATAGCCTATGGACATTTCTCATTTAGGGATGGCTCTTATTTAGTTAAATTTGAATAAATTCCCTATATATTCAAGAAATGAGGCCTTTATCAGCTATTACTTCGTTGCCTGTGGTACCTTTTATAACAATGTAGTTTTTCTGCTTATCTCTTTTAATTGTTTGTTGGTTTTGGATTGTCTGAGATAATAATGGTTACCCCTGCCTTTTTTACTTCAGCTGAAGCATAATAGATTCTACTCCAGCCCCTTATTTTAACTCTGTGTGTGTTTCTGTTTTGAGTATCTCTTTTATAATCAACATATTGTTGGATTGTAGTTTTTAATCCATTCCACTTTTGCTTCTGTTTTATGGTTGAGTTCATCCAATTCACATTCCGTTATAATTACTATGTATTTCCTCCATCCCATTTTCTTCTATTTATCCTTCTCTCTCTCTCTCTCTTTTTTTATCTTGCCACTCCTCAAAAGTCTGCTTTGCTTCTGAACACTATCTCCCTTACACCATCTTCCCTTTTATCACACAGACCCCTTTCTCTTATCCCTTTCCTCTTCTATTTCCCAGTTGTATAAGATAAATACATTTCACATATATATATATATATATATGTGTGTGTGTGTGTGTGTGTGTGTGTGTGTGTATGTATATATATATACACAATCACATATATACACATATATTATGTATATACATATGTATGCATATGTACATACACATGCAAATATGCATATAAACATACACATATACATGTTTATAAATGCACATATATTCTCTTTGAACCACTTCCAATGAGAGTGAGGTGCAAGCATTGCCCACTGCCACCTCATTTTCCCCTGTGATATACCAATTAAATTACAAAACAAATATTTTACAGACATTTATAAAATAATAACAAAATTAACTTGAAAAAAAAAAAATCTAGAACATCAAGGGAAATGATGGAAAGAAATAAGGATGGAGGAAGAGGGAATAGTACTTCCAGACTCCAAATTATATTCTAAAGCAGCCATCATCAAAACCATTTGGCCTTAGTTCTTTAACTGGTGGCAGAGCTAACTGGTAGCAGGGGAATTTTCTATTTTTCAAAAAAGGATGTTATTTGTCCTTCATTTTCTTTTTATTTTATTTTTTAATGTAAAAAGTATTTTCCCCATTACATGTAAAGACAATTTTCAATGTTCATTTTTATAAGATTTTGAGTTTCAAATTTTTCTCCCCCCTCCTTCCCTCCTATCCACTCTCTCTAAGATGAGAAGCAATTTGATATAGGTTATACATGTGTAATCATGTAAAACATATTTCTGCATTAGTCATATCGTGAAAGAAACAGGACAAAAGGGGGGGAATACAAAAAAACAAAGAAAGTGAAAATAGTGTGCTTTGATCTTCATTCAGACTCCTCAGTTCTTTTTCTGGACATGGATAGGATTTTCCATGATGAGTCTTTTGGAATTGTCTTGAATCATTGCACTGCTGAGAAGAGCTAAGTCTATCATAGTTGATCATCGCATAATGTGGTTGTTACTGTGTACAGCATTCTCCTGGTTCTGCTCATTTCACTCAGCATCAGTTCATACAAGTCTTTCCAGGTTTTTCTGAAGTCTGCTTGCTTTTTGTTTCTTATAGCACAATAGCATTCCATTATATTCATATACCACATCTTTTTCAGCCATTCCCCAATTGATGGGAATCCCCTCAATTTCCAATTCTTGGCCACCACAAAAAGAGCTGCTATAAATATTTTTGTACATGTGGGTCCTTTTCCTTTTTTGAAATACAGACCTAGAAGTGGTATTGCTGGATCAAAGGATATGCAGTTTGATTGCTCTTTAGACATAATTCCAAATTGCTCTCCAGAATGGTTTCATCAGTTCACAACTTCACCAACAGTGTACGAGTGTCCCAATTTTCCCACATCTTCTCCAACATTTATGATTTTCCTTTTCTACTGCATTTAGCCAATCTGATAGGTGTGAGGCAGTACCTCAGAGTTCTTTAATTTGCATTTCTCTAATCAATAGTGTTTTGTAGCATTTTTTATATTACTATAAATTATTTTGATTTCTTCATCTGAAAGCTGTTTATATCTTTTGACCATTTGTCAATTGGGGAATGACTTATATTCTTGTAAATTTGGCTCAGTTTTCTATATGGTTGAGAAATTGGGCCTTTTTAAGAGACAATTGATATAAAAATTGTTTCCCAGCTTTCTGTCTTCTTTCTAATCTTGGTTGCATTGGTTTTGTTTGTACAAAAGCTTTTTAATTTAATTTAACACAATCAAAATTATCCATTTTGCATTTCATGATGCCCTCTATCTCTTGTGTGGTCATAACTTCTTCCCTTCTCCATAGATCTGACAGGTATTTCAGAAGCTGAGTCTTTGGATTTATCAAACAGTAGATTACTGTGATCACTTACTACTCAGTCTTGTGCACCTAATTTATTCCATTGATACACCATTCTGTTTCTTAGCCAGTACCAAGTAGTTTTGATGATTGCCACTTTATCATATGGTTTTAGACCTGCTATGGCTAGGCATAGAAGTTCTTTGCATTTTTTTCATCAATTCTCCTGATATTTTTAACGTTTTATTCTTCCATATGAATTTTGTTATTTTTTCCAGCTCCATCAAATATTTTTGGTAGTTTGATTGGCATGTTACTGAATAATTAAATTAATTCAGACAGAATTGTCATTTTTTTCATTATATTACCTCAACCTACTCACAAGCAGTTGATGTTTTTCCAGTTGTTTAGATCCAACTTTATTTGTGTGAAAAATGTTTTGTAACTGTGTTCGTATAGTTCCTGGATTTATCTTGGCAGGTAGATTCCCAAGTATTTTATATTATCTACAGTAATTTAAATGGAATTTCTCTTTCTATCTTTTGCCACTGAGCTTTGTTAGTAATAGATAGAAATGCTGATGATTTGTGTGGGTTTATTTTATATCCTGCAACTTTGCTAAAGTTGCTAATTATTTTTAGTAGTTTTTAGCTGATTCTCTAAGTAAACCATCATATCCTCTGCAAAAAGTGATCAATTTTGTTTCCTTATTGTCTATTTTAATTCCTTCAATTTCCTTTTTATCCTCTTATTGCTAAAGCTAACATTTCTAGTACAATATTGAATGATAGTGGTGATAATGGGCATCCTTGTTTCATCTCTGATCTTATTGGGAAGGCTTCTAGCTTATCCTCATTACAGATAATGCTTGCTGATGGTTTTAGATAGATACTACTTTTAATTTTAAGGAAAGTTCCATTTATTCCTGTGTTCTCCAGTGTTTTTTTTTAAACAGGAATGGGTGTAGTATTTTGTCAAAAGCTTTTTCTGCATCTTTTGAGATGATCATATTGTTTCTGTTAGTTTTGGTGTTGATATGCTCAATTATGTCGATCGTTTTCCTGATGTTGAACCAGCCCTGTACTCCTCATACAAATCCCTTGGTTACAGTGTATTGTCCTGATTATAAATTGCTGTAACCTGTTTGTTAACATTTTATTTAAAATTTATTTTCACGTCAATATTCATTAGCCACATTGGTCTATACTTTCATTTCTGTTTTGGCTCCTCCACTTGTCCTTCATTTTCAAGGGGAACCAATGGCCTCATGAAGTGATATCTTGACTTGTGTAAATTGGATTCAAGTGAGGTAGAGCTGTGCCAGATCATCAGCGTCACTCCTTCTTCCAGAGATATTGGTGTCCAGTGGCAAAACAAAAGTCAAGACAACTGGTGATGGCCTGGGATGCAGTCGACAACCTTGGCATCTTCAATGTCCGACCCAGCTCTCAGCACTCCACAACGCCTGCTTCAGCTGTCTTTATGGTGGTTGGAACAAATTCTTCTTATCTGTCCATTCTGCCAAGAGAAGTCTTCATATGCTTGGGGTAGACGCCCCCCTAACTCACCAATGGGCTTGAGGCCTGCCAGTTACCCTCACCCTGGTTTAGCCTATCTGCTGAGATGGTTTTAACAGAGTGTAGCTGCTACATGCGCTATAGCTTCTTGGAGCCACAGGTGAGAGTTGGGTGACAGGTGGACACTGAAGGTGGATGAGCAGCCCTGAAAAGGGCTCGGCAGCTCTCACCCCCAGAAGCCTATACAAGTGTGCAAACAGGAAAATCTAAACTGCAGCAACTTGGAGGGAAAGGGCATGTCTAGGGTCACCCAACCATTCCTAAATAAGGTACATATGATAAGTACATATAGATAAGCTTATATTAACAGAATCAAGGCATCTAGGAAGCAATTCTTTTGTCAGGTCTTTGATTTGTGCATTAGTATCACCTATTACAACCTCACCTCAGCACATTACGTGATTCCCTCACCATCCCATGTTTTTCTGTCCAGCAGATCCTAATCACCACCTGAATTAAAGAAACGAAGTATGCCTGACCTGACCTGGCCTTCCATGTGACTCAATTTCCTTGTCTATACTAAGGGAACAAGGACCCAGCTTCTAATCTTCATGCTGCCACTTTTAGTTAAGTTTTCCAGGCCTCAGTTTCCATACCTGTAACAAGAACAAGTTGGACTCAATAATTCCTCAGGTTCCTTACAACCCCACAGCCCATAGGCCCAGGTTTCCTGACTCCAAACCTTTTTTACCCACAAGCCTTGGTTCTGCTTCTGTCATGACCACCATTGTGACATATGGGGCTAGTTTTTCCCTTCTCTCAGCCTCAGTTTCCCAATTTGTAAAGAGAGTGAGGTTAGACCAGATGGTTAGAAAGATAAAGCATTCATTAAGCATTTACTGCATGAGAGGCTTTTTGTAAAGCTGTTGCCATAGTTGTCTCCCCATTAGACTGGGAGTGCCTTGAGGACAGGGTCTGGGAGGGGGTTGCCTTGCTCTGTGTCCCCTGAACATGGCACTGCATTTGTCTGAGGAGGTTGGGAGCCCCCCTAAGAGTGAGGGGGTCCCACTCCAATTCCACGTCTGTGCCCATGGCAGAATCTCTGTATTTAAAGGGAGAAGACTGTGGTCTGATCTTGGGCTTGGATAATGGGGTGACCCTGACTAAGTCTTGGGAGACTAAGGCCCAGGGAGTTGAAGTTGCACAGTGGTGGAGCTGAGTTTCCAGCCTTGGCCTCCGCTGCCTCCCAAGGCCTCACTGCCGGGACAGTGAACACATAAACTGGAAGTTCTGCCTCCTTGGGAGATGAGCGCAGGCCTCCTGCAGTCCTTCCTGAGCCTCAGTTTCCTCCAATGTAAGATGAAAACAACAACCTTTCCATTGAACTCGAAAGTCTTGGATAGAAAATGATTTCTAAAGATACATTGGAAATGGGATTTAGAGCATGCTGATAGAACTGGCTTTGGTTCCAGACTGGGTTTATCTTGGCCTCTCTCCACCCCACCCTCAGAACCCATTTCTTAAAGCTAAAGGACATGACCTCCCTCCCTTAAAGATGATCTCACAGGCTTTATTTCTAGAAGGTCATGGAGTCCAGTCTTTTTATTTTGCAGATGAGGAGCCAGCCAGGAGATCCACACGCCATAGCTGGCCATCCTGGGATTGAGCCAGGGCTTAGGACCCCAAGTTCAGCCCTTTTCCCACAATACCAAAGTATCTCTTAACAATAATAAAAGCTAGCATTCACATAGCACTATAAGGTGAGCAAGGTGCTTTAAATATGATCTTACAACCACCCCATGAGGAGGGGCTTTATCTTCATTTTGGAGATGAAGAAACTGAGGCTGGTTTGCACAGAAGTGTCTGAGGCAGGCTTCCAGTGCATCATGCACTATTGTACCACCCAGTTGCTTCTGCATGTGTGAACAGGAGAAAGGGCAGTAATCCTTCACTGGAAGATGAGTTAGTGCTAAGTGCTATTCCAATTCTAAATCAGAAAATGTATTGTTGGGAGTAGAGATCTTTAAGATAAAAGGCCTCCACTCTGGAGAGTCTAGCTTTTCCCCACCCTGAAGCCTTAAGGGGAAGGGGAGAGTTCAGCAGATGGCCTTGTGTCCCCTAAGGCTGAAAGCTGGGGACACAGGGGATCAAGAGCAGAGTCTGTGCTGCACTCAAGGGTTTGCATGATTATGACTTAGTTCTATTTGTGTGTGCTATATGCTATAGCATATAGTATGTGTGTATACATATATATATATATATATATATATATATATGGATGAATATATGTATATGTACGTATACATATGATCTGAAAACCATCAATTACTATACAAGTGTTGGCTAATATTATTATTAACTTAAGTTCAAGGTAAAGGCCTTGTTTTCATTAGTCATACTGGGATGGTCTCAGCAAACTGGGGCAGGAAGCTAAGGATGTGGTTTGGTAGAAATAGGAGAAATACTGAAATACAAGCTGTCCAAGCAGCCAGGCTGGGAGACAAACTCTAATAAGGGGGCAGAATAGGCTTCACAAGATTTAGTCTCACAAGGAGAAAACTCCTCCAGGTAGATCCTCCTCCACCTTCCAGGAGAGTAGGAAAGGAAAGGGCTTTACTGAAAGCCTTTCCCTTCAACCCCCAGGGACTGTTTTCCCTTGGATTCTAAACCAGGGGCTAATGGGCAGTAATTTCTGACCAACCCTTCAAAATGATCATTCTGACCCATTCTCTGACATTGGCACCTCCCAGTCACAATCAGACTCTTCACTGGAGCTGTGCACATACGTGATCACATTGTCCTTCTCAATATGTGAACAGAAATGCCTAGCCTGGAATTCAAGATCCTCCACAACCTGGCACCATCCTGGCCCATCTCATTTCACTCTACTTCACACACTCTATACTCAATCAAGTCAATTAATGCACATTTAGTAAGGGCCTATCATGTGCCAGGCACTGTGCTAAGCTCTGGGGATGTGAAAAGAGGAACTCACAATCTAATGGGAAGAGAAAACAAGTCAACAAATACATGCAACAATATAGATAGACAGACAGATGGATGGATAGATAGAGATAGATAGAGATGGATGAATGGATATAGATAGATGTAGATAGATAGATAAAGAGATATAGATAGGTAGATAGATAGATAGATAGATAGATAGATAGATAGATAGATAGATAGATAGATATAGATGATAGATAGATGGATGGATGGATGGATGGAGATAGATAAATAGATATGGATGGATGGATAAAGAGATATAGATGGATGGATGGATAGATAAACAGATAGATAGATATAGATGGATGGTTGATAGAGATAGATAAATGGATGGATGGAGAGATAAAGACAGATAGATGGATAGATATAGATGATAGATATGCATACATATATACACACACACACGTGTGTGTGTGTGTGTGTGTGTGTGTGTGTGCACGAGTGTGTATGAGATAAATAAGAGAGACAGAGAGAAGGCACTTGAAGTAAGAAGGGTCGGGAAAGGCTTCCTGTAGAAGATGGGATTTTGGTTGGGATTCAAAGACAGCCAGGGAAACCCACAGGCAGAGATGGAGGGAGTGAACTAAGCCTGGAGGACAACCAGAGAAAATGTCAAGACCTGAGGGATGGAGGGAGGGTCTTGCCCATGGAACCTCCAGGAGGCAGTAGCACTGGATGATAGAGCATGTGTTAGGAAGAAGACTGGAAAGGGAAGCTGGCTCCTTCTGAAGGGCTTTGAACACTAACCAGGGTCTTGGGCATTTAAGACTTCAGTCTCTGCTTGTGCCTTGTCACACTTCTCCTATCAACATGCCCTTGCCTATGCTGGCTCATATGTCTGAAAAGCCCCACCCTGTTCTTAAAGCCAAAGGTCAATGCCACCTCCCCCAGGGCCTCTTCTCTGATTCTCTTTGTCAGCAGTGACTTTTCCCCTTCAAACTTCACCTGATTCTGTTTCCACTTTTCTATGTGTCTCCCCTGAATGACTGTTTATTACAATAATGGGTATGTTTCTGTAATCCCCCTACTGCACTGTCACAGAATCACAGTGGGATGGGGGTGGGGCACTGATGTTGAGGAAGGCTCTGCCCTAGTAGGAGGGGAGAGAACAGAGAAATTAATCAGTCAGAATTGCTGTCTGGTAAATCGAGCAGAAGGCAATACTACAGGGTTTGAGTGAGGAGGAGCTTGAGGAGAGAGTCTTGGAGGAAAAGTAGGGATTGGGCCACAGAAGAGCAGAAGACGTGGGGAGACTCACAATCAAGGAACCGTGGGGAGGAGGGCCTGATCCCCATGTAGTGTTCTGTTACAGAACAATGACCAAGAGAGCAGGGAGTTGGAGGACAATCAGAAACGCATGTCCTTGGTGACTGGGGACAAAATCACTGACAATCATAAAATCTCACCAGACCTGGAAACACGTAACACAGAAGTCCAGGTGGCTAAGTCATTGTCATCTGATAACTTCTCTCTCTCTCTCTCTCTTTTTTAGTGAGGCAATTGGGGTTAAGTGACTTGCCCAGAGTCGCACAGCTAGTGAGTGTCATGTGTCTGAAGCTGGATTTGAACTCAGGTCCTCCTGACTCCAGGGCTGGTGCTATATCCACTGTGCCACCTAGCTGCCCTGTAATAACTTATCAAAGCTAAAACTATCCAATAAATCACAAGCTCACTAATTTCTCCTTGAAGAAAAGAAAGTGTCTTCAACAAGCAGGCTCAGAATACATGTTAGATGATTACTAGGAGAGATTAGCTGGAGCAGAACCAGCAATCAACTCAACAGCTTTCTTGCTTAGAGAATAACAAAGGGTCCAAGACACAGCTCTCCATCCTTCCCAGCCTGCCTCTGGTCCACAGAGATCCTCAACATGCAGGGCCTCCAATGGTCTCTTATGACACCACAGGGACGTCAGAGCAGCAAATGGTTTCAAATTGTGTGGGACATGGGACCAAGCAGGAAAATCAGCAGCTCTGGAATCTGAAACACATCTGGCAGCCCTGAGACATCCCGTGGGCTTTGCTCACACCTCACCCTTGGTCCTACAATCCTACCAAGAGTGACCTATCACAACTAACTAGGGAAGAAAGGGCCATCGAAGCAGGCACTCTAAATTGGGGGCCTATGAGCTTATTCTCTGGTTTTCACGAATACTTTAATAAAATATTTTATTTTAATATGTATTTTAAATGTATTTTAAAATGTATTTTAATAAAATGTATTTCCTTAGGAATCTTATCTATTTTAAAGCATCATTCCAAGAAGGGGCCCAAAGACTTCATCAGACTGATTGACAAAGGTCCTATGTCATACACGCACACACACACACACACACACACACACACATATGAAAAAACTCTGGCATCAAAGGATGTGCTACCCCAGAGGACCCCCCAGGAGGTGGAGACAAAAAGTACTAACTGGAAAGGTCATAGAGCAATCATGAGCAGCTCCTCTTGGGAATCAAACAGCCATGGATGTGTCAGAGGATCATAAATTTAAAGGTGGAAGAGATGTTAGGAGGCCTTCAAACCCAATGCCCTTCCTGAGAAGTACGTGAAGTCAGCTCTCGTCACCAAGAGTAGTAAAGGCGAAGATGGACTGATGTGATGAAGTACATGGTTATTCATATAATCGTCAGGCTGGCTCAGTTTCCACACACACATTGCTCTGTGAGACCCTTAAGAGCAAAGTCCTCTGAATATGTGATTGTTTTACACTCAGTTAGGAGCTAGTTACTTACATGTCAAGGCACTGAGAAACCACGGAGGTGGGGCTACAGTCTCAGTCTTCATAAAGTAGGTGTCATGGGAAATGAACAAGTTATTGATGTGCAGTGAGCCTATGAGGGGGGGAAGAGCCTATTCTAGCATGAACAAAGAGCCCACATCTTCAGACTTCTCACTGGAATGCAGTCTGCTCATCTGGACTTCTTTCATTTGATAGTCAAAACAGAGTGAAAATGAAGCGGCCAAAGACTCCCTCAGGCCTCCCTTCATCTGAGCTGAGGCCAGAAAGGGGAGTACATCATTCACTCACTGTTATCTGTTGTCACACAATGTCAGGGCACAGGAGTGGATCACTGCTATAGACATATGGTAAGTAACTGGACCACTGCTCCTCAAGCTTGATCCAGGTGGGGATTCTGAGGGTGAAAGGGGAGAGTAGGGGAGGGGAAGGAACATGTGCCCATCCTAGTACAATGGTTGACTTTTCTTCAGTCTGCTCATTCTTCTGCATGGCCTGCCTTTGACCTATGACTTCTGAGCATAGTGGGACTAGGCAGGTCCATGATGAGGGCCCCAGTGGTAACCCCTCCTTAAGTAGATAGAATGAGTCAGGATGCTTGTAACTGGTAAAAATAACCCAGCCCTCCTCATCGGGCTCACAGGCTCACAGGAAGTCTGCCTAGTCTATCTCAAAATGGAATAGTCTTTGAGTAGGGGAATGATCAGGGATGGGAGTGGGGTGGAATTCCATACAAGGGGAGTGCCTTGGAATACATTCTTGTCCACTTTGTAGACAGAGTTAACCCATAGAGTGTGTGTTCCACCAGGACTGTCTCCACATGGCGTGGATTTTTACTTTCCCCATTAGGAAGCTCCAGGTGCCAACACCCTCATCAATTCTAGGGGCCCTCAGCCTTATGAACCATTTTACCTCCAAGTAGAAAATATAAAAAGCCATCTGTCTTCCAAAGCAAGGGTAAGAGGTGCAGGAGAAGAGAGGGGAAAGTAGCTATAGCTGTGACCGCATTCAAGGGGCAAGCACAGGGCCCTAGGAAAGGGTGGGAAACCTGCCACCTCGAGGCCACATGTGGCCTTCCTGGTCCTTAGATGTGGCCTTTTGACTGAGTCCAAATGTTACAAACAAATCCTTTTATTAAGGGGATTTGTTAGGGTGAAGTTTGGAGTTAGTTAAAGGCCTCAGGTTCCCCACCCCTCCTAGAGGAATCCTCCCTTCCCCTTTCTCCACCAACTGCGCCCCCCGGGGAGTGATCCGCCTGACATTTCCATAATTTATGGGAGGGAGATCTCGTTGCCCTCTCCTGTCTCTGCCTCATCTTTGAGGGCCCTCTGGAGGACCACTCGGAGGGGCTCCCTCCTTCTCTTCTGCCTGAAGCTACCCAGGAAGAAGTAAGTAAGGGGGTTTGTGCTGCTATTCACACAAGATAGAAGCTGACAGACAAAAAAAGCCACACCTTGTATCTATCAGCCAATACAGGAGAAAGCAGCAGATTCCAAAAGGCAGGCCGCAGAGCAAGAACATAAGGATTGTCACCAGGATGAGGAGGTAGTGTTTGGAGGGTCCCCTGTGCTGCGCGTGGCATTGGAACTTAAGGATCAGAGTCAGGCTGGATACACACAGCAGGCAAAGCAGAAAGAGGATCAGCATCACAAAAGAGAAGTCCCATGCCACACACGACATTACCCAGGGGGGGATAAAACCAAGGAAACCGCAGACTTCACCTTGCAGTAGATTCCCCAGAAGGTAGAGGGTCCAGAGGAGGGAGCACATGGTGGCAGACGTGTGCTTGGGGCGGCAGCATCGGTACCAGACGGGGAAGAACACGGAGAGACAGCGCTCCAGGCTGATCGCAGCCAGGAGGTGCAGGCCCAAAGTATAAAAGGAAATTGTGAGAGTGATAATAAATGCTGGTACTACGTCCCAAAAGTCTTGACCAATAAGCATGATGGAGCGCACAATCTGACAACACAGGTAGAAGAAGTCAGCCCCAGCTAGGTTAAGGATGTAGACAGAGAAAGGGTCTCTCTTGATGCAGAACCCCAGGAGCCACAGGACCAGTGCATTTGCCACCAGCCCGCAAAAGCTGATGGTCAACATGATGGCGTTAAGTGTAACAACAAAGGCCCCATCTTCACAATCACCCAAGCTAGCGAAGACAGATTCATCAGTATTTCTCTCAGTCCGGTTTTCATCAAATAAGTCTTGGGGCATTTCAGTGGAAATCTGCACCATGGTGGTTGGGTACATGCTGGAGAAACCTCCCCTGGGCACTGCCTGTGGATAAAACAACACAGAAGTGATGCACCAGGAATTCTGGAGGGGTCAAGAATATCCCCATTTCAATCCCCAACCTCAAGTCCCAATGAATGGAATGAAACATGACAGAGAGCATTTAGAGATGCGCCCCAAGGGATGGGGAAGAAATGCATGTCCAGTGGGAAGACTGTGTCAGTCCAACCCCCTTGGACCAAGCTTCACAAATATGCTTCCTGTCACATGGCCTGATCAAAGAAGGAATGCATGAGGCAACCCTTAGTCATCAGAGACTGAATCTGCCTCTTAGGGAGCCTCTGAAGAGGGTTCATGGGGAGAGAGACCCAGGAACAGGACTGAGAATTTCTCCCAGAGGAGGTGCCTTGTCCACCAAGGAGGGTGGACTTGTGAATACCTGCATATTGTCATGGATGTGATAATCTATTCAATTTTTCCCATAATTGTTTCAGTCTCATTTAACAAGGTATATGACACAACACTGAACCTTAGTTCACCAGGTGAGGAAAGGTGGGCCCGGACTGGGACAAAGATGCTCAAAGTAATCGTTTCAAATTCAGGACAGCCTTCCCCAGGATGTGACTGAATAAGAAGCAAAGAAGTCCTTTCTGTCAGAGTGAAGTGTTCTGTCCACACAAAATTAGTTGGACTAGATTTTTCATTTTCATTAAGTTTCTCTGGTGCCATGAAAATACAGACAAAGTGAAGATGAGGCAGGGGGAAAGACAGAGATTCAGAATGTCAGGAGAACATTTCCTTGGCCATGCATTGGAAAAGGACTTTCCCACAGACATATCCAGTTGTACAGGAAAGCTGGTTGGGCAATCCCAGATTGGGTCCACCCTTCCATCAGAGAAAAATCCTTAGATCTTACCCTCTCCAAAGGGGGAGGGGTGACTTCTGTAGGTCTTAACAAGCACGAATGTAGAAGTGGGATTGACACGAGATCAGGCTCATGTGAAAGAGGCTTCCTCCCATGCTCTTCCTACTCCCAGTGGTCCTACTGATCCTCCCAATGACCACAAGCTATTTCTACCATCCCCATGATTCCTTTAGAATTGACCCATAACTCCAGTGACAGTGGAATCCAGGCACAATGATGGCTGATGGTGAAAAGGAGGTCCTCCCCCCTTCCATTACCTTCCCCATACTCCCTCCTAATATTCATTTTGCAGAAGAAAGCTCTTCCCTGGACTTACTTACCTGGAGAAGCTGTGCCACCCTCTCACTGTAGCTGCCTGCAGGAACTTCTGGTCACTTCTATTGTATGAACAAGTGTTATTGAGAGATTGGAGAATCCCCTGTGATTTCCTATCAAGGCAGCTTTGGCCAATGAGAAGTCAGAGTCTGTTGGAAAGAGTCCCTTCTGGGGAAATATCTCATCATTTTCCCCCTAATTCTTCTGTAATATCTCGTGACCCATTCAGTGACACCCAATTCAAGCACCACAGGCTAATATTCTCAGTTGTCTGGACCACTGCCTCACAGGCTTCTTTCTCCTGACTTTTTGCCTTCCTTTTCTCCCAGGAAATCAACCTCCTGTAACAATCTTTGTCTAAAGAAGACAGAGAGTCAGTTGAATGGAACCTCCTCCCCCTGAGCTCACAAGGTATTTCTAGGGTCCTCCTGCATATTTTTCTCTCTTCCCTGGTGTCACTCCCCCCAACTCAGCCCCTCATAACCACCCTGCTCTTAATTCTCTGGCAACCATAGGAATTTTCCTCCGTCCCTCACAGGAGCTCTCAGATGCAGAACACCCTAAGTGCCTTTCTAGTACCCTAAGAGAGAGAGTTTGGGGCAAGGGGAGAATCTGTGTTAAGAATGAAGTTAATTCAATAATTTACCTCATAGCCCCAAAGACAGAGGTGGATGGAAACTTTCTTGGAACTATTCATTCTATTTTCCTAAGAGGAGTGACTGGGAAAAAATGCAAAAGAATGATATTAGAGCCTAGTAGTGCACACCTGCAGCCTCAAAAATGCGATTGATGAGAGATGCCAAGAGCCCTTTTTTGAGAGAGTGTGGGGTGACTGAGCACAGACCAAACAGGTCACTAGCTGCAAAATGACCGTTTCTGCTTTTCTTTCCAATGCCTCAATTGCATTTTATGGAAACATACATTTTATTTCCTTCTATATGCCAGGCACTGTTCTAAGCTCTGGGGATAAAAAGAAACCGTGAGGATTACACATGGTTACAGGGTGTCATCTGGATGAGGATCTAGCAAAGGATACTGAGAAGGAGCAGTCAGGAACATAGGAGGAGAACCAGGAGAGTGGTACCCAAAAGTCAGGGAGAAGAGAATGCCAAAGAAGGGAGGGTGATCAACAACGTTAAAGGCTGCAGGCAAGTCCAAGAGAATGAGGATTGAGAAAAGGCCATTGGATTTGGCCGTAAGAGATCACTGGTAATTTTAGAGAAAGCAGTTTCAAAGGAAGGGTAAGGTCAGAAGCAAAATCATAAGGGGTTAAGAAGAGGAAGAGAGGAGAGAAAGTGAAGATATCTATTGTAGACGGCCTTTTCAAGGACTTCAGCCACAAGGAGTGGAAGAGACCTAGGATGCTGATTACAGGGAGGGCATGATCAAGTGAGTGGGCTTTGTTGTTGCTGTGTGTTTGCTTCGGTTTGTTCTGGTTTTAGGATGGGAGAGACATCTTCGTAGGCAGCAGGAAGTGATCCAGTATATGGAGAGAGATTGAAGATAAGTGAGATTGGGGGTGACAGAGGGAGATCAGAGAGAGCAATCTCTTTGAGGAGATGAGATGGATTGAAAGAAAGCCAGGAGTGAAGATTAGAATGGAGAGAATGCTGTGAATGGAGGACAGTCCATGAAAATGCACAGATTCGAGAGCTAGAGTGTCACGTAAAAAACAGCCAAGAGGCTGATGTCACTGGGTCACAAAGAACATGGCAAGAAATAAGATATAAGAAGACTGGAAAAGCAGGAAGGGAACGGCTTTAGAAAGGCTTTAAAAGCTACCTTAGTGCGCATTCGATACCAGACATAATAGAGAATCACTGATTTATGGGACGAGGAGGGAGACATGTGGTCAGGCTTGCTCTTTGGCAAGAGGTGAGAACTGGATGCATGTCTGATCCCATGGCCACCATACTTTTCTCTTAGAAATGTCATTAAAGAGAATCAGGTAAAGCTGTCCCCCAGTGCAGGCCTGAGGATCTGCAGGACACAGGTCCAAAGAGCTATCAGAGACACTTCCTCCTTATTCCACATAATAGAAAGATCAAGGAGACACCTGAGAGGCCCATGCATCATCGGATCAAGAGAATCACAGGGAGATACGTTCAGATCTTATCCACCTCAACAGGCACTTTCAAAGAGACCTGGGCTCTGGATGGCCAGTGTCTGCCTATACAGAAGATCACACTGAATGTTCCAGCCTTTCTGTAAGTAGATTAGGATGATCCAGATGCTTTCTAAGTTCCAATTTGGCTCTGACGTTCCAAGATAAAGCACCTTCTCCCTTCTTCCTTATGTCACATCATTAACAGCATGTTCTTCCTCATTCTCCTTACCTTCTCCCCTTCCCCTCATCCTCCACCACCTTCTATCCCTAGCAGCCCATGGAGCAGAGTGTCTCCCTGAAAGGACATGTAAAAGTTCCAAGACAGCTATCCATCCCTCAAAGCAGACACACTCCCCTGCCTTTTGGGGGCCACTCCCTATTTGCAGGGTACTTTGTCCCAGTGGCCTAGCATTTCACTCACTGGTCATGCTTCTCAGCTAATTCCCTTCTTCAGTTCACAAAACCATCTCTGGCTTATTGATCTAAGGCTTTAGATGCTCACAGTCTGCTGGTTCCTATGTGGAGAAGGGACAAACGCCGAAGCTGCCAGGGAGCTGAAGGACAATGGGTACGTAGGATGTGAAGGAGGAAATAGGGCATGCAAGAGGCAGGGGAGATGTCAGGAGGAAAGATTTTCATTAAGTAAAAGCTGCCCTGACTTGGCACCAGGGTCCCTGTAGAATAGGGATTAGAGGAGAGTAGGGGCTTGGGGAAAAGTTCTAGGGCTTCAAGAGTGCTGGGGTAAGGAAAGGAGGATCAGAAAACTGGGCCAAGAAGCTGAGGCCATGGGCCCGAGGCAGGCTAAGTCAGTGAGTGTTACAAGAAGAGGGAGATGAGTAGAATCAGGGGAAGACAGAGAGATAACCCCCTAACTGGAGGTGACATTTCACCTAAGGACTTGTGCTAGGATTGGCCAGTGATGCCCACATGGAAAATCATGACCTCAGACTTCAGCTCTGCCCGGAGGATCTCACAGGCAGTCTTGGGAAGAGAGAGCAGAGTAGCTTCTCAGGTCATTAGCTCTGGAGTTCCCTCTTCTCTTCCAGGAAGGTGTGATCCTGCTCTTTGAAGCATGTTGGAGGGAAGGAATGGGAATGGTTTGCTACACTCAGTCTGTTCTTTCTACTCCATATACAGGTTTCACCTTCCTCCTCGTGATCCGGTTGGTTCATCTCCCAGGACTGGAGGGGTGAGAATTAAAGACTCAAAGGCTTTGTCTCTATCTCCCATCCCCCTATTCTCATAGGCTCCCTGACCCAACAATAATCTCACAGCCCCACTTTCTTTTCAGGCTCCTTCCTGGAATCCACCCAATCAGCAGGTTGGTTCTTCAGGGAAATTCTTAGGGCACCCTGAGGTAGTCAACAAGCCCCTTGAGCCCAGTGCTGGACTGTTGCCTCTCACTCCCTTTGGGTGTCTTCCTCACCTGGCTCTCTTCCCAGGACTGCTGGCTCCCCAGGCCCTCAGGTCCATGCACGGTGTGAGGAGTGACCCACTGTCTTCACCGTGCTTGTCTAAAGCATGAAGTTCTGAACCCGGGGGCCCTCAACTTACTTGTCAAAACAATATTTTAATAACTGTACATCAGCATATGTGCTTTAATTTGTAAACCTACATCTTTTATTTTATTCATTTAAAAACATCATTTAGAAAAGAGGTCCCATAGCATCACCAGACTGCCCAAGAAGGCCTTATGTCAAAGAAAGTTCAGGACCTCTGGTCTAGGTGACGGCTAAGTTCCCTACATCTCTAAATACTATCACACCTACCCAAAAAAATCACCAAGTCCCTTAGGGCTATCATCCAATCAACAAGCATTTATTTGTGTTGGTCACTGATCTAGAGACAGGAATGCAAAGAAGAGCACCTTCTATCAAGGCATTTACAGTGTACACAGAGGAGTCAATCCAGTCACAGATAATGGATCCAAGACAAAGACAAAGCCATGTGGTTTGAGGGGAGAGGAGAGGCCTACAACTGGGAAAATTAGGAAAGGTCTCTTGAACTGAGACAGATGACTCAGGAGCTGAGCTTTGAAGGGAAGCTCAGACGTCTGAAGAGTTGAGGATAAAAGATCTTTTGAGGAGTAGAGAACCCTGTGGGAAAGTGACTTTCATAAAACACTTAAGATTATTTTAATATTAAATAACCTGTTCATAAAATATATATATATATATATATATATATATATGAAAAGAGAAACCCTGCTAGTTTCCTTCTGTGAGACAAATTGGTAGGTAAAGCAGAGGGTCAAAAAGAGAAAGAAAAGTGGTACCTGGGATAGAACTCAAGACCTGGAGTCAGGAAGACATGTTCAAATCTGCACTTTGAGGTTTACTAGCTGTGTGACCCTGGGCAAGTCCCCTTGACCTATGCCTGCTTTCTTCATCTGTTAAAAGGGGATAATAATAGCACTTACCTCACTGGGTGATTGTGAGGATCAAATGAGGTAACATATGTAAATGTGCTTGGGATAGTGCCTGACACATAGTAGGTGCTGTATAAATATTAGTTATTATTATTATTAATTATCTTTTCTAATGATTATCAGTATATTAGTGAATGTGACGATACGATCAGACTTCCTAAGTTGATTCATTTATTGGGTGACATGGCAATCAAACTAACAAAAGATTACTTTATAATGCTGTTAAAATATTTTTGAGGCAGCTAAGTGACTAAAGCACAGTCTATCTAGTGTCTATCTGGTGAATAGAGTGCTGGGCTTGGAGTCAGGAAGACCTGAGTTCAAATCAAGCCTCAAATGCTCACTAGCTGTGGGAGCTTGGGTGAGTCATTTAGCTTCTGTGTGCCACTGGAGAAAGAAATAACAAACGCTCCACTATCTTTACCAAGCAAACCCCATGGACAGAGGCCCACAGGGTCATAAAGAGTCAGACGTGACTGAAACAACTGAACAACAGTAACAAACACAATGAGATAGTCATTAAATTTCTCTGGAGACACAAAAGCTGGAATTGCAAGGAAGAGAATGACCCCCAAATTTCAAGGTAGAACCCTAGCCATGCCAGCTCTTGAGCTATACCAGGAAGTTGTAATCATCCAAATGGTTTGGTATAGGCTCAGAAACTGAGGGGCTGATAAATAAGGGAGGTCAGATACACAGTCTGGAGATGGAAACGAGTACAGTAGCCTACTGCTTGATAATCCAGAAGCGCCCAAGGGATGAGTTAGGAGCTCACTATTTGACAAAAGCTCCTGCTCCACCTGGCAAGGAGACTGGCAGAAACCGAGTAAAGAGCAGCAAGCACTTCAGAGTGTAACACCAGACAAGCACCAAACATATACAGAGGTAAAGGGATATGTGGACACCAAATGGAATTCTCAATGACAAGTTGGTAAACTGTACCTTTCAATTGCATGATACTGGTAGTAAGCCTATATTCCAAAGAGATCAAAAAAATAAGAAAAGTTTGTGTAGGTACAAAAATATTTATGACAATTCTTTCATGATGACAAAGAACTAGAATCTAAAGTGTGCCCATCAATTGGGGAATGGCTACAGAAATGATTATTTTAGCTAGGCGGCACAATGGTTAGAGTATTGGGACCTGCAGCCAGGAAGACTCATCTTACTGAGTTCAAATCAGGCCTCAGACACATACTAGCTGTGTGATTCTGAACAAGTCACTTCACCCTGTTTGTTTCAATTTTCTCATCTGTCAAATGAGTTGGAGAAGGAAATGGCAAAGCACTCCAGTTTCTTTGCCAAGAAAACCCTGAATGGGGTCATGAAGAGTTGCAGGTGACTGAAAAATGAATGAACAACAATGAAGAAATTGTATTATACAAACATGATGAATTATACTGGGCTGTGAGAAATGACAGAGAGGCTGTTGAAAGGAAGTAGTGAAGATGTGCATGAGCCGATGTACAGTGAAGTGACCACGAGAACAATTGATAAAGCAATAAGAACACTTTTAAAGACTTAAGAAGTCTCATTAAAATAATGATTAATCAGAGGGATGCCAGAGGACTTAGGATAAAACGTGACAGAGAGCTCCAATCCCACAGGGCAATATTATCCAAGGGGAAATTCTCTAAAATCTCAAGAGTGGCAATCTGAAAACAGACACAGTCTGTCTCAAATAGAGTCTGCATTCTCCCAAAAACTTTTCCCTCTTCCTCCCCCACCCACCCTCCCTCTGTGGCTTGCAGCCATGAGTGTTCTCTGGAAGCTCAAGGAAGAACTCACCTCCCAAACACTGGCCAACTCTATCCCTCAGGTGATCACAAAGCATCAAGTCGTCCATCAATGAGGACAGTCTTATGTTAATGTCAGGGATGGACCCCTGGGTTATACACAGGTGAAAAAAGAAATTGAAAGCCAGCTCAGCAAAGCTAACCCACACCTGAGTTGAGTTGCATAGTCTCTGCAAGGTCCATGCCCATAGTTCCCCAGCTATGCAAGAAATACAAGTGTGTTTTCCCCACACAGCCAAGCTGAGCATTACAATTACACAGAATTCAATTACTTTTTTCTTTCCCAGTGTGGTGATGACATGTATTCTTCTCCTGCTCCTACATGCTTTGATCTTCTTTCATCTATCTCTTTTCCCATGCTTTGTTGAATCCTCTATTTTTCTTCATTTTTGATGACAAAATATACAAGATAACTTTGATTATGTGAAATTTAAACAAAATACATGGCACGTAGTAAGCACTTGATAAATGTTTATTGACAATTCAGAGAAACACAAGAAAACTTAAACTGAAATGAGTTAAAGTGAGGTGCATGAAGAAAGCATGTGCGTTTGCAGCAAAAATGCAAATAAAAAAGGGGCAAAACCAGAAAGAAACTGAACGCTGTATTTTCACATTTTTACAACTGACAAGAGACTTTGTCCTAGAAAAGAAAATAACCTTCCCTCTCTTCTTTCCAGAGTGGGGCGGGGGGGGGGGAAGAGGGAGGGATTGTGTTATAATTGTTCATCTATTGTCAGTGGCATCTGACTCTTTGTGACCTCACTTGGGTTTCTCTTGGCAAAATACTGAAATAGTTTGCCATTTTCTGCTCCAGCTCAATTCACAGATGAGGAAACTGAGGCAAACATGGCTAAGTGACTGAGCCAGAGTTACACAGATAATAAGTGTCTGAGGCCAGATCTGAACTCAGGAAGATGAGTCTTCCTGATTCCAGGCCTAGCACTCTATCCACTGCACCACCTAATTGAATTCATTTTTTCCTCTTTCACTTACAATGATTTTCTTGCTGTTTAGGGGAAGGGAAGAATGTTCAAAAATTTTAAAAAATAATGTATAAAAAACAGGATGTTCATGAAAATATTTTGGGAATAAAATCAAATAAGTTATATTACCAATATAAGACAGAAGAAAAATCGTTTCACAAATGAATTTGGAGTAATTACAAAAAAGGGGAAAAAAAAGAAAAAGAAAAGGAAGGAAAGGAAATCACTTAAGTTCCCCCATTCCTCAGTTTCCTTATCTGTATAACCAACATATTGGACTTGATGGCCTCTTGGACTCCTTTCAGCTCTAAATCTGCGTGCCTGTAATGCACTGGGGAAAGGCTTCCTTAGGTTAGCTCTAGCTCCTTTTCTTTTCCTTTTTTTTTTTTTGTGAGGCAATGAGGGTTAAGTGACTTGACCAGGATCACACAGCTAGTAAGTATCAAGTGTCTGAGGCTGGATTTGAACTCAGGTCCTTCTGACTCCAAGGCTAGAGCTCTATCCACTGAGCCAGCTAGCTGCCCCCTAGTTCCTTTTTTAAGTAAGAATCTCAGACAAAGCTGGAGCTTATGAAAAATTACTGGTGCCTTAGTCATGCCTGTTGTATGGAAGAGTTGGTAGATAAAAATGTTGTCTATAAACAGAGAACATTAGCCAGAGGGGCCATAAAGGTTGGGGATGGGCAGGTCATGAAGCATCAGAGGAGCCTGGGGAGATAAACAGTCAAGCAGAGATAGGGAGATAAGTACCCTGAGGGGACATCATTTAGGATTCCCTGGAGTCTGATTGGCCAGTGGTGTTACACAGGAAATCACAGGACTGTCCAAACTTTTGATGAGGTTTGTTCTGTCTCCAAGTCACGTTAGAGTAGCCTGAAGGCAAACCCACAGTCAGATGATGAAAGATTATCTCCAGATCAGTCACTTCAGGGAGGTCAATTTTGGAGAGTGATTCTTTATCTTTTGCCTTTGGAAGTATGGTATTTAAAGCTCTGTAAATAGCAGCTGTTGCTCTTTTGGCCAGCAACCCTGAGGGTCTTCCTCTCTGTTTGATTTTTTTTTTAATTAAAGGGGTCACCCCTTAACACTTCTTAGAGAGGCCTACTCGCTGAATGAGCATTGCCTAAAAAAGTGAGGAACTCAAAAAGACCTTAGCTTAAAATGGTCAATGTCTCCCACTGCATCCTGGACCATTGCCAGTCATCCTGGTTGATATCTGGCCATGGGACCCAGATGGCTCTGGAGGAGAAAGTAAGGCTGGTGACTCTGCACAGCCCTCCCTCACTCAAATCAAAGTCAGTGGGAAGTCATGTCATCTTCTCCCCATTGTGATGGGCTTCGTGGAGAACAAATGGCAAACCGCATTGAAAGCTCTCCACTTCATTTTAGTACTGACTACTAAATCGTGTTTGAGCCTGGCTGTGCCTCTGTGGTATTTGAATTCTTCCTGACTATTCGCAGCATTTTTTTCCTTTCACCTGGTGTTTCTGGGTTCACCCTGTAATTTTCCTGCAAAGATTTATAGGGGAGTTTCTTTCAAAAGTAGACCAGCCAACTCCTTTTATCCCCAGTTTCACCTTCTTCTTCTAAGAAACCTTGGCAGTTTTCTTTCAAGATTTCTTGAGATATTGTGCCTAGGCTCTTTGTTTTTTGGTCAGGGATTTGAGGTCATCTGGTGATTTTGAAATTTTTCTCCACAGTATGTTTTCTAGGTCACTTGGTTTTGCTATGATATACCTCATATTTTCTTTGATTTTTTAAAACTATTTTACCTTTTAATAATATTTCTTGTCTCAGAGAGTCATTGAAATTTATTTGATCCATTCAAATTTTCAGGAAGTTTGTTGTTTGAGCAAAATTCTGTGCTTCCTGTGCCAAGCTGATAATTCTCTTTCCAATTGTTTCTTCCATAGCTTTCTTCTTTTCATTTTTTTCTATGTTGCTTCCACTTCTGTTACACAAATATTTTAACTGTTAAAAAACTCTTGATTGCTATCTCCCAGAAATCCTAGCTGAACTTATCCCCAACCTGTGTTTTGTTTCTTCTGTGGCATTGTTTGTAGATGCTTTGGAGTCATTCTCTTCTGTATTTGTGCCATGAGATGTTC